AAGCCCATCTAATAGATTTTTTTCTTTACGTAGCGCTTAATCCTGATGCATGCGAATTAGTAGTAGCAATTTCGAAACTCGAGGAAAATAAATAAATAGCATAAGTATGAAAAAGTCAAAGGTTAGTCCCATATCCAAGACGCGGTGTGATGCGGTCGAGTGATCAGCTGAGTTCCCTTCCGCCCTGACTTTGACCCCAGCATGCTGACGTCAGCATACCAATACTTCCTCTAAAGCTGAGTCGACAGAGAGAGACGGCCGAGTGCGAAAATATGACCTTGCAATTGCAAAGCTAGCACTCTACCACTGAGCTACGCCACCTCTACGGAATTCAACGATAAGACAAGTTTCATTCACTCCCCCCAAACGAAAAAATACAGGAAAAATAAATCTTCAACAAACGCGTTAATTAATTAAAGACTTCTGCAATTTCACACTACCAAGAGAGCGAGAGAGAGACCACGTTACTCATATGTCTATTGCAAAGCTATTGATCACCTACATGCAATATCACACGCGCGTGCAACCTGATCTCTCTGCAATCAACGCGTCGCCCAGAGGTAAGGTTTTTTATTCATCTCACGCGCTCGCAGTCAAGAACATCAACAATTTGATACCAAGTCTATGATCCTCTCTCTGTTGGTCTCGCTTTCTCATTCTCAAATGCTCTCGTATTTTTCCTCTCATTTTGCTCTCTCTCTCTCTCTATCTTGTCTGTCGTCTATCGTCTCTCTCTCTTTCTCTCTCTCTCTCTCTCTCTCTCTCTCTCTCTCTCTCTCTCTCTCTCTCTCTGATACAGATTAATTAAGCCAGGATTGATTTCCCAAAAGTGGAATTGGGAAAGGCGAATAAACTGGCCTCTCTCGGTATTCAGAATGAAAGGAAATCAAGATCAAAATTTCGTATCATGGGAATTTTGGAGAATAACAAAGAACGGTGGTGAAGAGGGAGAGAGAGAGGGAGAGAGAGAAAAGCGAGAGAGGGAAAGAGAGAGAGAGAGAGAGAGAGAGAGAGAGAGAGAGAGAGAGAGAGAGAGAGAGAGAGAGAGAGAGAGAGAGAGAGAGAGAGAGAGAGAGAGAGAAAGGCGAGAGAGAGAAGGAGAGAACGCGAGAGAGAAGGAGAGAAGGCGAAAGAGAGCGAGGGAGAGAAGGAGAGAAGGCGAAAGAGAGAGAGAAAGAGAGAGAAAGAGAGAGAAAGAGAGAGAAAGAGAGAGAGAAAGAGAGAGAGAGAGAGGGATAAATAGAGGATAAACAGAAGAGAAAACTGAAAACCAAAGAAAGAAGAAAACATAATATACAGAATGAGGGAGAAAAGAAGTTTTTTCTTCACTTAAAAAACGTGGATATTTTGCGTTTGTTCAGTGCAGTTTGGGTAAAAGTTGGCCACGAAATTCAAGAGCGAAATGGAACAAACGTTACATATACATATACATAAATACACATATACAGATATACTTACATGCATACACAGAAATATACTTACATGCATACATACGAATACACTTACATACATAAAAATATATTTACATGCATACATACAAATATACTTACATGCATGCATACAAATATACTTACACGCATACATACAAATATACTTACGTGCATGCATACAAATATACTTACATGCATACATACGAATATACTTACATACATACAAATATACGTACATGCATACATACAAATACACTTATTTGCATACATACAAATATACTTATTTGCATGCATACAAATATACTTACATGGATGCATATAATACGCATACATGCATACTTACAAATATACTTACATGCTTATATACACATATACACAAATATACATACAAATATACATATGAGTCAGTTTCTTTAATTGCTTTCACCAATTAGCTTGACTACTTACTGTACCCCCCTCCTCTCTCTCTTCTCTCTCTCTCTCTCTCTCTCTCTCTCTCTCTCTCTTCTCTCTATCTCTTCTCTCTATCTCTTTCTCTCTATCTCTTTCTCTCTCTTTCACTTTCGCTTTCTCTTTTTCTTTTTCTTTTTCTTTTTCTTTTTCTTTTTTCTTTGGACGGTAACCCCGGCCATTCCTTGCACCCAGGGGTAAACTTAGAAGCAAAATGAAACAGACAATATGTCACACCAAGAATATTGTAACAAATGGAATCAAACTAAACCTAACCTAACATTTCGCGTTCGCTCTCTCTCTCTCTCTCTCTCTCTCTCTCTCTCTCTCTCTCTCTCTCTCTCTCTCTCTCTCTCTCTCTCTCTCTCTCTCTCTCTCTCATTTTTCATTCACCAACCTATCATTATCAT